ATGAAGTTCCCCTTCTCCGCTGCTCGGTACGCTTCCGGTCTCGCCCCACCGCACACGATCACCTGAATCAAACGTTGAGTCAGACAAAATTTCAAATTCAATAATAATTTAATTCATCAGAAACAGTTTGACTCTACGATATTTAGTTTGGAGAAATATTTAGACGTACTCACCTAGAATTTAATGGTAGTTTAATTTACAGAATGAAATCATTAGGTCATATATTTGAACTCTTATCTTTAGGGTTTAGTGGTAGTTTAACGTATATACCTCGGCCGGAATTTTTTCGGCATTGTCGAGGCAAAGCTTGAGAGGGAGAAGAGCGGACATTCCAGAAGCGGGGTAGTTTCGGGAACCGCCGTCCAAAATGGGATACTCATGGAGGATGGTGTGAGCCTTAGGGTCAAATAGAACGGAGCGGCTGTTGGCGAAGATGAAGACATTGCCGTCGGTGGAAAGATGAACGAAGGGATACAGATTGTTTTCGTCTAAATCAGTGGTCTCATCCAAGAAAGGCATTTTGATAGCCCTAGCATTAGAAGCTCCTTCCGCCGGAACAAATTCAACACTGAAAGATCTCCGCCCGCCGACTAAGAAGAAACCGCCGTCCGGCATCGTGATCTGAGTCGCATACCACCGTGGACGAGCCAGTGCCGTTGGATACTCTTTCCAGTCACAGTTCTCGCATGTACCGATATATCGGACGGCTCTCGTTCCGTCCTTCCATCCGCCGGTGTTAACCACTCTACCGTTTATGTCAAGTCCTCCCGACGAGCACCATGGATCCGAAGACATCTATTAGATATCCAATATATAAATTAAATTTATCCACTTATTACGAATAAATATATATAACTGGATTGAGTGATGTTATTACTGACCGTGAGAGGTCTTAGGTTTCCGGATGCGATATCGTACTCGACGCCATGAGCCCAACAATCTTGGAGTACTGCACCCTGGTCAGTGGTGAAAGGGAAACATTTTCCACCGGGCAACTTGATTTGTGAGATATGAAATGCAGATGCATCAAATATGATCATCTTATTGTTTGGCATCAAAATCATGTGCATAGCCGAGACAAAGGAGTTCTGAACAACCAATTTCCACATCCCTCCATAATTCGTCTTGAAATCCCGCTTGTTCGATTCGTCGACCACCTCCGGGCCGGCTTCGAACGTTATCCCGGGCAGGTTGGTCTCGACCGGTACGGCCGGGTTCGTGTCGGTGGCATCTCGCTTACCAGCGTCGTTCGTCCCGGTCGAAGGATCAGCCAGGATCTCCTTCAAGGTGTTGTCGAGGGGGTTGGAGCCAGTGCCATAGTTCCCGCCGACGGTGTCGAACTGGGCGAGGGCGGAGACGAAGAGGAGAGGGAAGAGGAGGAGGAGAAAGGGAGCTGCCTTGAGAAAGGCCGCCATTGAAGAAATGAAAGGTAGTTCTTCAATGGCAGCAAATTTTGTGTCTATATAAACACTAGGCCTTCTTCCTTTTGTGTGTCCCTCAGCTTTTGTCTCTCCATCTGATCCATTTTTATGGCTCAAAGTTGGCGGTTAAAGGATCCCCAAACTAGGCCACAGTTTGTTCCTTCTTTGAAGGCTAAACCTCAACTTATTTGCTATTTCGAGGCAAGTCAGATTAAAAGTAAATCAATGAGATTATTGGAAGGCCATAAGGAGTTTTCGGGAACGAAAATTAAGAACTAAACTTTTTACCCTCAACTTGGTAAGGAAATCAAATTTCACCCTAAAATTTTCATTTCAACAAAACGCAAATAATTAATCTTTAGATAAGTTATTGCAAATCTTTACCTTAAATTAAATTTACTAAGTAGTGTTCCAATTTTTACATTTTTTTTTTGACATATGTCTGGTACAACATTGAAGGTTGCTACAAATAACAATTCTATTTTATAGCAGTACACTAAAGATTTGAAGAAAAAATACACATACAGGCAGTTAAAGGTAAGAGGTTAATATTTTGAAGGATTGCAGGCTAAAGATTAGAAAGCTAAAAGCTGATTGATTTCCCATTTTTGCACCATCAGGTTTTTTCTGATATTGAAGAATATATCAGATAAGACATTAATATTCCAGCCAAGACTTTCGAAATGCAGTAATTAATTATGAGCATTGAAGTCTCTAAATATTTGTTACAACCAACAACTCCAATTGACTCATGATTTGCAAGCTATTTGTTCTATGGGATCTTCATCTTTGCCTTTCTCTTCTTTACTAACTTTAACAAACTCGCCAAATTAAATTTCGAGTTCTTCAGTTTGTAACGAATGTAATCTGTTGTTTTTTTATGGTGTTTCTATTTTTTGTTTTCAATTTTGATCAAGAAATTTTTTTTGTTTATTTAAATATTTATGTTTCTCCTTTTTCATTTTAGAAATATTATTTTAAAAATTGTATAGAAAGTTTGAGAATAACAAAACTCAAAAGCAAGTGTCAGCCATTTTCAATTTGTTTAAAAAACATATAAATTAAAATATTATTTTATTATTCTTGAATTCATGGTGTTGCGATATGCAATTTTATTTTTCTTTATTAAAAAGATAAATAGAAACAAGAAATGAGTCCTTACTAAATTTTAAATATATAAACAAATATACACTTTTATTCTAAATATTCAGGGATATACTGTTTTTTGGAATATTTTTAATTTGTATATGAATCACGTTAAAATTTCTAAACATACTCTCATAGATATTACATTGACAACATATATATTAGAAATTATTGTCATGCAATTTCTTTGTTATGTTTATTACTTTTATTAATAATACATTTGAGTACTAACTAAATTTTAAATATATAAACAATATTTAAAAAAAAATTCCTTAGATTTTAATTTTTTTTGTAAAATAAATGAAATACAAAGTGAATTAAGATTGAAAATAGAAATTTCAATTGTTATTTCAATTTAATCCATAAAGTTTAGAACGTCCATTTTAATCCTAGCTAAACTTTCAAAAGATAAACATAGTGCTGATCTTCTTGTTATATATTCTGCCATCAATTTCCATTACACTCTAAGTCAAAACTCCTCAATCAAGCTATATGATTCTAATATTTTGCAGCACAAAAATCAGTTAATAAATACATAAAAATAACTCTAGAAACTAACATAATTGCCTTTTAAAAGTAATTTAGGTACTAAAATGGCTAGAATTTAAGAAATATGTATATGTAAAACTCCCCAACCTAATTATTATTGTTGTAATTACGATATACCTTCCATTTCTCTTAACCGAAGTACTTTATCTAACCTCCTTTTATTGTATGTTTCTAACATACTTTAATGGAATAGTTCCGATATCTTTTCGGAAAAAAAAATCTAATTATTATTATTATTTTTTTCATGAAAGATACTGGAACACCTATTGATAAAGATATGTGAGAGACATACGATGAAGGTAAAACAAAATTCTTCCGTTAGGAGAAAGGATGAAGATATATATCATAATTACAAAATAAGCGAAGATGAAGATAAGGATTGGTCCCTCCCTCTAAAAACACAACTTATAAATAGTTGGTCTCTCTCTAGAAGCACACAAATTATAAAATTATATAGTAGGGCTTTTACCTCAATGCCTCCCATAGATGGAGCCTGAAACAAACCTTAATGTCAAATCACTTTCCCCACTAATACAAAAACAGTGGCATATTGGGCAAATGCAAATCACCTTGGTGCATGCACGCCCTTTTTCCAATCACTTGACATGAATTTTTCTATTTCCATACAAAGCATCTTCATAATCACTTCTTTTCACTCTTATTCTCATTTCACTAATATTTCACATTCATTGATACCCTCTTTCTTTTTCTATTATCATCACTTATTCATTAAAAGTCGTGACTAAAGTCTAGTACATATCGATATAAAAGTCGAGAGAAGGTCATAGGTTTACAATGAGAGACTATATCGGTTGGTACAAGACTTTTTCTATAGATTTCAATTGAAAGCAAATATATATAGGCTTAGATCTTAAATCATTCAGTCGACCAAAAAAGTTAGGTTAATAGGTTACGGTAAATTTGTGGGTTTAGAAATTTGCACTTAGACCCAGCAATCGGTAATTACCTCATACAATCAGCATTTCAAACACATGATCTTCTATCCTGGTTCTGTGATAAATCACCAATCAACCTAAACACTTGAGTTGATGAGTTAGGTCAATTTAATCTTTTATGGATACCTTAAAATATTTAAAGATTGGCAATATCATGCCAATGTACAAAAGCATGAAACGTCTCTCTCTTATGTCTACTTTGTTCGTTGTATAAATGGGACATTTTTCGAGACTTTTGCTCGATGTCGGGTGAAAGGATTTTTTCTGTAAATAAAATATTAGGGTTTGCCCTAATTGCTACCCAAGGATGGGGAAAAGCATTAAAAATATGAAAGGCCAACATCAACACACGAGATTCCCTTAAACTAGCAATCAATATGCTTAGTGTGAAACAAACATGGCATGCACAAAAGAAGTCTTTTTTCCCCTCCCTTTTCTTTATTGTCTATTCAACAAAACCATTAATACCCTCTTCCTTCCTAAATATGATATATCTATGCAAAAATAAATAAATAAATAAATTTAAATCGACTACATCTATCAATTTAAATATTTTAATTCAGTAGTGATTATATTCAGAACATGTTACACTACAAGACAAAAGGGCATCAGCAACGAAATTCATTTTCGTCGATTATATTCAAAATATGTTACACTACAAGTAATTACTAGATCAAACGATAATTTACATTTTATCAAAACATAATATTGGTAGCTGGAATAGCTCAGTTGGTTAGAGCGTGTGGCTGTTAACGTCAAGGTTGGAGGTTCAACCCCTCCTTATAGCGCTTTCCTTTTCCTAAAAAATAAAAATAAACGATATTTTTTGACGTGGGATCTATAAAAAGTTTAAACTCCTTAAAGATATATATTGAAAAAAGTTTAAACTCCAAAGAAAAGTATTAAAGATATATATTGAAAAGATTAAATTTAATCTAACCATTTTTTGCTTCCAATCAAACTGTCCATAGAACAAGTGATTAGAACCTAAAACTGATTTTAATATACATCTTTCATTCAATATAACGTTTTAAATCTTGATTTTTCTTTCCTTTTTTCTTTTAATAAAGTTTCAAACTGTTGAACAACAGAGGATCCAAAAAAAAGATTGATCAAAGCCAATGAATCAGATAAAGTTTTTGGTCTTTCTTCTTCTTTCTTTTTCCCCATTAATTTCTCTATCAATTAAGAGAAGGGAAAAAATCAAAACAGTGCTACTGTTTGATTGCTATCTGTGTAGACCTCAAAGGAAGCAATAAATTAGTCTTTTTCTTCACTTTCATAATTTATGAAGAAGAGAAGAAATATATATATATATATTAAACAGTATTTTCTCTAAAAAAACGAAAAGAAAAAAAGAAGAAGAAGAAGAAGAAGCAAAAAGAAAGTCAATCTACCCTTTGATTACAAAATGACAGTACTTTTCAGCTGAACTTAGCTTTCTTTCAATATTGCATCCCCATAATGCAATTTTGGAAATGAACTTGGAAAAGAAATGTATTGGACTTGTGCATGCATGCAATATTTATAATATAGAAATAATTACAAATCACACCCTATAGTTTGCCCATTTTACAAACCACACCCCTATATTTTTCAAAATAGTCTCCAACATCTCAAAAAGATCAAAATTTATATATGATCTAAATGTGGCTTAATAATATTTTCCTAGTGCCACATGTATCAGTTTTATAGGGGCATGGTTCATAAAATAAGGGTAAATTATACGAGTTCAATCTATAATAGAAAATATTTGGCTCATTCCTAATAAGAACTAAATCTTGTACTCACTACCATTAAATGTTTGACAAATTAACAATTTTTGTATTTATTTTTCTGAGTTGTCGAACATTTTTAATGGATGGTTAAAAGACAAGATAAGTCCTCATTGATTGAGAAATCAAGTATTTTCCGTTCATAATTATCACTTCATAGAATGATAGGGAAGTTGATTGATTGGAACCCACTTTGTTAGATTGACAATCTCAGCTCCAAATCTAGCTCTTGAGTGTCACTTGATTCAGAATTTTGACTGCTTGAGCCAATTGAATCGCTCCCATATTTTGAATTTATGTTCTTGTGCATTGAATCCTGCATTTTCCCCACATTTCATGTAAAAATAATAATAATAAAAATCTCACATTTCTATTAATTTAAACTTTTTAATCATATTATAATGATGGATATCGACTAATTAATAATATAAGTCGCGACAAATATATCAAATCAGTATCAGAATCGTATCAAATAAAACTATAAAATTTGCAGTCCTCGAAGAATGTTATTTTTTTGTTTGGTTACATACAAATCATGTAAAATCACATTAAAATTAAGTTAATTAAAGAGAGATTATTAACTAACCTGTACATGGGGATTGAAATGGTTCCCAGTCATATTTGGTTGCCCAAAATGTTGGGTCTCCAGGAATGTGTTATTTGGGTCCCATCTAAAATTAAACAAATCAAAAATTTAAAATTTAACACACCAATTAAAAAATTAAAAAAATATCTGAATTTACTTTTTAATTTTACCTTATAGAAGCTGTTGTTGGCTGAGACTCACCGTATCTGAAACTTCCTCTCTCATATTCTCCCATTCCAGTCTGTAGGATATATCAATTTTAATTTCTTTAAAACAAATTATTGTTAATAGATATAATTCAAAAAAATAAAATAAAATCTCTAATTTATCCTACAAACTATCATCTTTTTTGTGATTAATATTAATGGTGTTTTGAGAAGAAAACTTTGGCTTTTTCCCTTAATTTTGGCACATGTTTCATAACCATTTCATTTTTCGTTTTCTGTTTTATAAAATTTGATATCAAAGAGAATGGAAAGAGACCTGAAAATTTGGGTGGAAGCCATAGTTAGAAGAGGAAGAAGATGAAGATGGAGCTGTGGAGTAATTAGAAAAAGACGAAGCTGCGGCTGTTTGCATTCTCATATCATCGCCCTACACAAAATCAAAATTAAACCAAAATTCATCAACTTCCCATCAAATCCGCCATGAAAATGTATAGCGAAGAAAGATCAAAGGGAGTATGGTAGTGTCTTAAATAAGAAAAAAGTTGTATAAAATGTTCAACATTTTTTAAATTTGTCTCTAATTTGGTCTCCCAAATTTTAGGAAATAAAATGATTATATATATAAAATGTTATAACGTAAAAAGATTCTTTCCCCTGTAAAAGATTTCCCAAATCTATCTAGCGTAAAAGAGATGTAAAAGAAAGGGAAGGAGGACAAATTAAAAATAAAATAAAAAACCAATCTTCATATCATCAAAGGACGAGACGCCAAAAGAGGGAAACGAGAAAAATTGAAAAAATTTATACAAAATGAGTTCAAATCATTCCGATAAAAAAAATCTAGAATCTTTGGTGGAATTGACAAAAATTTTCACTGAAACCTTAAAAAATATATACAAAATGAGTTCAAATCATCCCAGTGGGATATCAAAATAAAATAAATAAAAAAAAGAAAAAAAAAGTCTGGAATCTTTGAAGGAATTGACAAAATTTTACACTGAAGCCTTTTATATATATATATATATATATATAAATATGTGTGTGTAACCTTATGGTTTAGAGAGGAACAAATTAAAGAGAAAATTTGAAGTTTTAATTTCTTTTTTTATAAAATTTTTTTAAAGTAAGGCAGAATTAGGAGGGACAACTTTCCTCCGCCCTGCAAAACCCCATGAAAATCATCAGAGAGAGAGAGAGAGAGAGAGAGAGTTACGGCGGAGAGATTTGGATAGAAGTGGTAAGAAGCGCAGCCCATTTCGCCATGCAATCTGATCTTC